ACAGACAAACTACGGCACTTACAGAGCTGCTACCAAACATCAGAGGAACAGGCAATCAAAAAAGTCGCTAATTATATGCAGTTGTGTAATCAACAATTCTCTACGAAACCTCGGCATGGAAACAAGTAATGAAGGTAGCAGAGTATAGGAAAATGGTCCAGGAAACAAAGAGGAGGATGCTCTTGATGCTCCTACCAATAGGTCCCATAGACCTATTGGTAGGAGAGAGATCTCGTTTGGAAAACAGGATCGAAGTAACCGCTGCGGCAATGGTACAGAGCATGGAACGAAAACACGTCTACGTCCCAGTGGACCAAAAAACTGATTCCCGATTTAGCGCCTTAGCTGGACTGCCCATTTAAGAGCATACGTCACACAGGCACCAGCGGGCATGGCAGTTTCCGCTGCTACACGCTCAGAATTGGGAAGACTGCAAACGATAGCAGCATATACTATGAGCAAAGAGATGACCCAACAACAAAATATTCCATTGCTATAGATGGATAACAGCAAGGACAAATCTGGAAATGGAGTGGAGCATCCAAATAACGCCAAGCAGAGAGAAATGGGAACGGGGTGTCAACTTTTGAAGACAGACAATGGAAACAAAAGAGGAGGATGAATGGGAAAACCAGATACGCGAGGAATAATAACGCTGGATGAAATGCCGGAACTGATAAGGAACAGAAAAAACAACAAGTTTGTGATAGACATTAAGTAAGTGTAGGATTTCCACTACACCAAAAAAAGGTTAGGTAATGTCAGGTTAGGTAAGGATAGGTTACAGTATAATAAAACAGTATAATAACCCTTTGTAATCATTATAAAATTCTTACTTAGGTTCTTAGATGATGTAAAATTTCTAGGAGAATCTACCAAATTTTCCAGCCACAATACATTCAAGGTCGTATTTGCGTGAATGTCCTTGAACTCCTCCAAACTAGTCTCTGGATTCTCGTTCAGTTTTTTTATGATATCTTTGACGATTGAATTATTCAGTTTTGAATCTGACGTTGGACTTGAACCTTTAGCCATAACTATTTCAAGAATATTAGCGTTTTTGTGGAGAGGTTTACGTCTGCGTCTTTTATGTTTTCCAGTTCGTTTTTTTACTGTTCTTTGTAATGCTGTTCGATCAGTAAAATTTCCAAATCTGCCTTCATTAACTGGGTTTGCTGAAAACAATAAGTAGTAAGTTCCTAGAAAATTAAAAATTATTGTAATTCAAAAGACAAAAAAGGTTATAACAATTAAATTGAATAAGTATTCTCCAGAATTATTATAGTTTAAAGTAGACTCATAAAAACGGACAAAACTTCTGAAACGACTTAATGGCTGCTACACACGTTACGAAAAATCATTACGATCGAACGTATAGTTTGAACTGCACAGTTAGGCCACTCATTTTCGGGGGTTTGCCTAGGAAAGTGGACATATCCNCTTCGGGGTTCCTGTAGCAGATTTCAAGTAGCTTGTGACAGTCCTTTTCGTGATTATGTCAGATACAGGAAAATCCGATGAAAAACTTTCCAGGGTGGAGAAGAATGGGTTTGTGGTTGTTAGATTTGTGTAAACAGTTACAGATGATGTATCCTGAAGACTTGATGAATCATTTGCATAACTGAATTCAATTCCTGTAAGACAAACAAATTCAAGTAACAGTTTACGAAATCGCAACACGTGTTTCAATGTACGATAATTTCTTCGGGAGTGTTCATACGAAATACATTTCACATAATTATTGCTACATATAACAATTTGTTATTAGTCAGTGGGATAGGCAGTAAACAAATATAAAGAAATGAAGTTTAATTGTTCAAGCCAATCTCGGAAATACCTACACAGTAGGTTGAATGGACGTACGCCTATCAGAAAACAACTAATTCACTGGCTAATACCACGAACGGCGATGGATTATATCCGACAGGCGTCAGTGCAGGAATCTTCACAGAAAATGTCAATAAATAAATTGGCAATACAACTGAAAGAGTCGGCCTTCAATTTTGAAACGGACACACTTGCAGACCGGTTTCGGGCTCATTAGACACTCGTCAGTGCAACATAGTGGTCATCCTCGACCTAAAGTCAATGATATGCTATAATTGAAAATCGAAATTCTTTCAGAGTTTTTCATTCCTCTTCCTAAGTTGGAGCGTACAACAAAATGTCACTCCATCTAGTGAATGAGGTACTAACCAACTGCATATCCGAAATTTGCTCGATTCCTCTGAATAAGGAAGAAAAACTTTCTTATTAGTCAGTAGGCTATGTTTGGAGACAGGCAGTGAACAAATCTAAAGAAAGGAACTTTATATGCAGGAAATTTTCTGTGAAGATTCCTGCCCTGACGCCTGTCGGATATAATCCAACGCCGTTTACTGTCACATTTTCATTGAACATTTTGTGAAACCGCAACACGGTAAACGTGTCTAAACATATATCATATATTCTACAAACAAAATATTTAGTTTCCTAAATGGAGCATTCCAGACAAAGAATTATTTGCATTCATTTATGAATAAGTATAAGTAAAAAATCTGGGGTCTACAAGTTCTGGAAGTTACTTCTTTGCATGATCTACACATCCATGTATAGAGTTACTTCCTTCCTTTCTTTGGAAGACTCCCTCATCCTTCTTTTTTTTGGTATCAAGATGGAGTAGTAGAAAGCCAAAAACTTTCTTTCCCAAAAATTAATCACTCCTAAAAAATATAACCCCTTCAATTCAAGAATTTTCTATTTGGATGAAACTTGGTATGACTGTCACGATACAGTTACGAAAGGGTGGACTGATGGTTCGAGAATGTGTACGCCTAACATGACTGCAAACAAAGAATCGCGACTAATCATTGTGCATTGCGGAGAAAGTATTCTTTGAAATTTTGTGTCTAAAATTGGCGAAGCGAGCGGTGTGTTGCCCGAAAGTAACACCCATTTTGATACAATAATTTCATTATTTGCACGTGTTGTTGGGTGCTATATCCGTCCATGGAGATTTGACGAAACAGACTGAATAAATGACAACTAATTTGAGAGATGTAACTTCAATATGGCCGTTATCAAATGTCAAAGTTTGGAAGTGCCTGTTGGAAACCCCTAATACTATACTGTTGAGTGTTCAGTAAAAATTCCTTATTAAAGTGATATATGAATGCGTTATGGTTCTCATCAACTAAGTTCAATTTCATTACATACGCTAACAGATGATTTAATCGAGTCATAGTTATTCCAGGATAATAAAAACTACATAATTATTATGCTAGTATTTTGCAGCAGAATATCAAATGGACACACTTCACAAATAGAATGAATTAATGCATACTTAAGCGAAATAAAAAATGTTCTAAAAATAAAACATTTATTATCAAAGTGTTATTCACTTAAATGAAGATCGTTGAAACAGCTCGACAACCGCACTAGCAGTATCTAGCCACCAATTAATTCGCATATGAATCTGGGAGCAATAAACCACAACGCGCGTTCCTAATTCCACAATATCCTCGTAAAGGAATTTGACCTGTCAAAAAATCGGTCATTTGTATATTACTCAGTATCGTTTCAGTTGAAATCTGCGAATATCTTTGACATTTAGAGACAGAACACGATTTTCCAGTTGACAGTCGAAGTTTAAGCTTTGCAACAAAACTTCGAGCGGATGTGTTTCTTGAATAACTGATGTTTGAATTTTCTGTCGAGTCAATGGAAAACGCTTACAAGGGAAGATATTTATTCTAACTAACCGAGCGCTTTACTCTGAAAGTGGTTCAGTCTATAGTATTTTCAAAGATATACATCTTGAACAGTGAAGTTCGGTGATAACTCCAAATTGTAGAGAAATAAATTAGTTTTGCTGCGTTGTTGTGTACTTCTTTATTAATTTCTATCCAATCTTAAAAAATTAACTTTAGACGTTCAAGCCAGTCTCGAATATACCTACACAGTAGGTTGAATGGACTGACGCCTATCAGAAAACAACTACTCCCCAGACCGGGGGGCGTGCTATTAGCCAGGGCTGTGTATATTCAAGACTGGCTTGAACGTTTAAAGTTCATTTCTTTAGATTTGTTTACTGCCAGTCTTTAAGCATAGCTCACTGACTAATAAGAAAATTTCTATCTAATTTCTCCAGGTGTGCTTTCGAATCAATTATATAAATAAAATATATTTGAGACCATTCCCTGATACATAATTATCATTTCTATGAAACCCCTGAATATGCAATAGGTCTGTGAATTGGAAGGAGTGTTATTTTTAGGACAGAGAAGTTTTTGGAAAAATTTTTTTTAGATATCTACCCATCGATCTTCATACAAAAGTTTTGGGAAAATTTCGAAAGAAGGAGGAACGCTATTGGTTTCCATACATTCCGAAATGTTGAGTTTTGAACCTTTAAATTCCAAATGCAATACGTCATATTCATGATTGAATTCGCGCCCCTTTGTCAAAAGATGATTCGCAAATGAAAGAATATAGAAGTAGTTTAAACGTTTAAAATGTTTATGGGCTGGACAAATATCGTGTTTAACAGTTGGAAAAAATAGATTTTTATTTTGTTATTTTCAAGGGCTATACCTTTATTGTGTGCACATTTGTACTGAGGTAAGTTGTTGAGGTAGTTATTATTTTTGACCCCACAATATGTGGTCAAATTTCTGATCTACTTTTTGTTACACCCTCTAACAGCTAGAAACAAAATAACTGATTGGAAGAATTCATCAGATTACCTTCATTTGATCACTTTCATTATTGAAGGCTATTGTTTGTTCGGCCTAGTTTATACGGGGTGTATTAAATCATGTTAGTTTTACTAAAAATATTGTTCTTTCAGTGATTACTCACTATTATTCTCGCCGATTTTGATAAAACTACGTGTATTTCTTATGAGTAACAATGAGCTGTTTGTAATAATCATTTTCTTTTCGAAATCCACGAGAAGATTCATTGATGGATTTTCCTGGATGCGATTTTCTCAAACTTAACTCTTCATAAAAGATTTCGAAGCCCCAATGTTCCCACAATAAAAAACATATACAATATCTCGTGTTTCATAATAAGTAAAATAATACCATAGTCAACTCACCCAGAAAACAGATAAAACCCAGAACCAACATATTTGAACTGTATTTGAAATGTTGGCTCATTTTATTAAATCTTTATTCACATGTGTTTGATCCGTAGTCACTACACATAAACTAAGTCTCACTATGACCTGTCATGGTGTATGATGCAAAGAATTTGAATGGTATGTGTATGAATCAAGCAGACGCCAGCGTATTTCACTAAAGATGCTGCGTGTGTTTAAAAATCTCGTTATTGTTAGAGTTAATTTAATTTTCTATAACACCAGGCGCGGTCCGAAGGGTGGGTTGAAGGGTTCATAGCCCTCCAAAAATAGTACGTGTGAGTTTTCTATTAACTTTCTGTTTGCACATTGCAATTGTTTTTTTCAATTCAGTTAGTTACGGAGTGTCTCAAGGAACAGCACCTGGCCTGTGTTGTCCACCTTGTATGTGGGTTCATTATTTAGCATAGCTATTCCTGACACAATAAAAAAAATTACTGATTCATTTCATGTTATTTTGGATTATTTCAACAACAAATTCTAGACGAATAATCTAAAAAAAACTGTGCCTTTATGACTTTTTACAACTACTGAAGCAATCTCCATAATTACAAGTTCCACCGGTAGCTGGAGGTTGCACATTTTAATGAGGATCTAGAAGTGATTTCGAATTGGGGTGAAGATAACAACGATATCCCAGGCATCGATATTCCAAAAAAGATTCCGAGCCAGACATAATAATGTCAGGACAGACAATTCCGCTTTCTGCTTCGATGTTTGTCGGGGGTTGAAATGTATACCAATATGTTTCGGTACAATCGGTACAATCTCAATTAGAATTTGTTGTTGCTTGGTGCAGCAGTAATAACTTGAAACTCAATGTGGAGAAATGTAAAGTAGTGAGTTATAGTCGAAAAAAAGAGGTTTATACATTTTCATATTTAATACAGGATTCAGATCTGCTGAGATGTAATGAGATTGAAGACCTAGGGGTGATATTCGACCATAAATTAACATTTGGTAGACATATTTCACAAAAAGTTTCAGAATCTTTGAGAGCTTACGGTTTGATTGTTAGAAATTGCAGAAACTTTCATAATATTAAAGCT